TTCTTTACAGTCGAACTCTCCTACTCAAAGAATGCCAGTAGATGGTCTCAAGTCTACTAACGAAGATGATCCAAAAGAAGAGCAATATTCCATAGCCAAGGATAGACCATGGAGTGATATTCGACCACCACAAAGATATGCAAATTTGGTTATATATGTTTTGTCTATTGTAGAAGAAACAAGTGAAGTTGGTGAGACTGCTACCTATTCAAATGCAGTTTCTTGTGATAATTCCGCTAAGTTGTTGATTGCGATGAATGAAGAAATTGAATCTCTCTATCAGAATAGAACTTGGGGTCTTGTGAAGCCGCCTTCTGGTAAAAAAATTGTTGGATGCAAATGGGTCTTCAAACGGAAGGAAGGTATTCCAGGGGTTGAAGATGCAGGGTACAAAGCACGATTGGTTGCAAAGGGCTATAGTTAGGTATATGGTGTTGATTTTAATGATATATTTTCACCTATTGTTAAACATAGCTCTATTCTTATTTTGCTTACTTTAGTTGCCATGTATGATTTGGAATTGAGTAACTTAATGTCAAGACAACTTTCTTACATGGTGAACTTGAAGAACAAGTTTACATGGAGCAACCTCATGGATTTGAAGTTGACGGTAAGGAAGACCATGTTTGCTTGTTAAAGAAATCCTTGTATGGATTGAAGCAATCTCCAAGATAGTGGTATAAGAGGCTTATTCTTTTATGTTGGGTCATGGTTACACGAGGAGCATGTATGATAGCTATGTCTACTTCCGGAAGTTAACTGATGGCTTTTTTGTGTATTTGTTGCTTTATGTTGATGACATGCTTATTGCAGCTAAGAATTTGTTAGAAATTCACACTTTGAAAATGCAGTTGAGTAGTGAATTTGAAATGAAAGATTTGAGAGCAGCTAAGATTTGAGATCAAAAGAGAACGAGGAGTTAAAAAATTATTTCTGACCCAGAAAAATTACATCGAGAAAGTCTTGGAGAGGTTTGACATGAAAAACACTAAGCCAGTAAGTACTCCTCTTGCTAGCCATTTTCGGCTATCTACTGCTCAATCACCATAGTTAGTTGAAGAGGAAGAATATATGGTGCAAGTTCCATATTCCAGTACCATCGGTAGTATTATGTATGCAATGGTTTGTACTCGTCCAAATATTTCACAAGCAATCAGTGTGGTACTTGCAAAGTGGATTCTCAGATACTTGTAAGGGACTTTAGATGCTTGTTTGGAGTTTGGAAAAAATCGTGACACTTTGGTTAGTTTCGTCGATTCTGATTATGCTACGGATCTTGATAAACGAGGATCTTTGATAGGCTATATTTTTTGCATTGGCGGTTGTGCAGTTAGTTAGAAAGCTTTCTTACGACCTATCGTGGCTTTATCTATTACAAAGGTAGAATATATGGCAGTGATAGAGGCGATCAAAGAAGTTTTATGGTTAAGAGGTTTATTTGGCAAATTATGTCTGCATCAAGGTGTTACTATAATTTACAGTGATAGTCAAAGTGCTATTCATTTGAATAAAGATCATATGTATCATGAGAGGACGAAACACATCGATGTGAAGTTTCATTTTATTCGGGATACTATTATTGAGGGAAAGGTCCTTGTTCAGAAAATTCATACGAAGGATAATCCAACTGATATGCTTACGAAGTCTCTTCTAGTTTATAAGTTCAAGCAGTGCTTGGACTTGGTTGGTGTTCATTGTTGGTAATTGCCCGTTGAGGCTTTTTTTTAAGAAGGTGGAGCAAGTTTTGTTAATTATCAATGTTGGGACATGCCAAGGTGGAGATTTGTTAGTTTGGCAAGTCCCACATAATCCCACATCGAGAAAATTAAACTTATTATCTCCTAATGCAACTATAAATAAGGGCCTAGGCTTTGAAATCAGATGCACCACAAGAAAACCTAATTGTTTGCTTTGGGTTTTTCTTTTTTAATAGTTTCAGGTGTTTTATGATTTAGGAACATTTTCCTAAGGCATTTGTAATTGTCCTAATGATTTGCTCCGTTCGTGGATATAGGTCAATTGATCGAACCTTGTAAATCTGGTATTCTTATCTCTTTTATTTTTCTGTTTTATTATCTTTATTGGATTGCTAAATTACCCTTTGGTAAATTTCTTGGAGCTAGCTCTAACAAAAAAGCATAAATAAATATATTTTGATAAAAAATTAATCAAATAATTTATAAATCAAATTAAAGAAAAATTATTAGAAGAAATCAGTTCTAAAACATATTTCTAGCCTTGAGAAATCATACAATTGAGATATCAATCTCTTGAGATCATAATAGTAAGGATGATTGAAGATTATACCAATACTAATGCAAATCATCATCAAATCTAAGAAAATAAATAATAAATCTAAGAGGGAAAGATTGCAACGAAGAGTGAGCAACATTCCACGCTGCTGCCAAACATGATTTAAATTAAAGGATTTAGAAGCTCGAATGAATCGATCATGGGAAGCGGCAAACAACAAAAATCTCTGTACCATGCCGCACAGACCAAGTCGAGGAACAAAAAATTAAAACAAAAAAAAAAGATAAAATAAAAATTTTTAAACCTTTTTTTAATAGTTGGGGGGAAGTTAAAATTTAATATAGATTTTTAACCTTTTCATAATAATTTAATTTTTAAATAGACTGAGTGATATTCTTAGAAAAATGAAGACAGAATGATCATATCATGACCTCTCCCGAGCTGCACTTGTATGTTCACCCATAACCTCAAGTCCTTATCTACATTTTGTTCATTTGTTTCGGGAAAAAAAATCTAATTAAAAATCAATAAAATAAGATATAAACTTAAAAAAAATTGAATGCAAGATTTATATGGTTCAATTCAACATCACTATTTAAGTCCACCCTAGTTTCTATCAACCGAGAAAAAAAATTAGATTCTTAACGTTGGTAGAATAATACAAATATAAGAGAGAAAATTCCCTTAGTACTTGTACACCCTCACTCACGAATCTTAGCAAACACTCTATTATAGATGCAAACTTCCGTATCTATATTTAAGTTAATACAATCTCTCTATTTCTAGAAAGAGAAGGGTTTCAAAACAGTACTCTAATTTTTGTAACATCACATCCTCTCGTATGGATGCAAATATTTGTATCCATCTTTTAAGTTAATTGAATCTTTCTTTTCTTTAGAAAGAGAAGGGTTTCAAATCTTGCCCTAATTTTTGTAACATCACATCCTCTGGATGCAAATTTTTGTATCTGTCTTTTAAGTTAATGAAATCTCTTCTTTTTCAGAAAAAGAAGGGTTTTAAAATCATATCCTAATTTTTGTAACATCACTACAAATTTTTATATCCGTCTTTAAGTTAATGCGATCTCTCCATTTCGAAAAAGAAGGGTTTCAAAACCATATCCTGATTTTTGTAACATCACATTCTTTGATATGAATGCAAATATTTATATTCGTCTTTAAGTTAATGCAATTTTTATTTCTAACTTGATCTTTGTAATATCACATCCTCTTCATGTAAATTTTTGTATCTATTTTTTAAATTAATACAATCGCTAAAGAAGGGTATGCTGATTTTCGTAACATCATATCTTCTATTATGGATATGAACTTTTATATCCGACTTTTAAGTTAATGAAATCTCTTCATTTTCAAAAAGAGAAGAATTTCAAAATGATTTTTGTAACATCACATTCTCTCATATAAATATAAATATTTTTACAGCATATAAATATAAAAATTAATCGAATGAGCTCGATTTGTCTCAAGTCGCCTTGAATACTTTCTTCTTCTATGACAGTTTTTTCTTTTTAAATTTATTTTTATTTTTTGATTCTTGTTTTAAAATTTTTTTAAATTTTATCGTGAGAAGTTCAAGATCGTCATCATCACCATCACTTGTTATCACTCAAGTAAATATTTTAAGTTAATGTAATCTCTTCTATTATTGTGGGTTGGAGGAGAAAAGGATGGACGTCATGGGCCACTTTCTCAGATCCGTGGACTGAAAGATACATATATCTGCTTCGTTCTCTCTTCTCTTCTCTTACTTTTTATGCTTCGATACAGCAAATTGCTTTTGGAAGTAGAATAGAGATTTCTTCACCTATATAGCAGAGGATTACTGGAAATTAAACATGGATATTTTTACAGTATATGCATTTTTTACTGCTTATAAGCCTGAATGATCGACTGCTCTACCCTTTCTAGACTAGGTTTGTGTGGCACCATCAGTAAGCAAGCAGTTCATGATTTGAACTGAGTTGGATTATTATTTGAACTTCTAAGGTCTTCTTTTGATGTCTCATCATAAAAGAACATGAATCAGACGATTTAGTTCCATGCTAAGGTGGAAACAAGCTATTGCATCGTAGTGTGTGCTTATAAGAAGCAAGGTTCGCAATATCGTACCGTACCGGTATTTCGATCTGGGCTCGGTATCGGTATGGTACGGTATACCAAACGGTACACCCATACCGGGTGGTACAGTTCGGTACGACAGACCCTGATAAGAAGACTCATGGAAAATGAGCAGAGCAGTTGAAGGTAAGAAATTGGCGGAAATTGAACCTGTTTGTCTGTCCACATGGAACAATGGTTCAGTCTCCACCAATTCTTATGTTCAGCTTCCAACACACAACCTCCTCAGATGATCTAGTGAGCTATGAGGGAAAGCCAAGCTTGAATCTGAGTGCAAGTGGTTTGCTTAACTCCGAGGAATTCCTTGAGATGGAACAGAGCAAGCACAAAGAGGCTGCTTTCTATTTTTGAGTGCACATCGGCTTTGCGCAAACACCAGGCATTCATATGTTTAAGTCTACTGTTCGTATCATCTTTTTTGGTATACCAAACCACACTGGGGGTTACATTACATTAATATTTTGAGCTGTATGAGAGCTACTGGTTGTTTATATTATTAATCTAAGCTCATGAGGAGCACACAATGTCTTATTTTGTAGCAATACTTTTAGATCCAACATTCAACATTGAGCGACCCCTGTACATTGCATTTGGTGTAGAGATCTCATGTACAAAGAAGCTTGTTTTGTAATATCGATTCCCCAACTCTTCCTTTCATCATCTCCATCACAAAACTTTTAAGCACAGCTAAAGGGATCTGCTCAAGTGATGATCGATCATGTTTCCTTCAGCTTTCCATTCTGACGACCACCGTCTCCTTCTATGGAGAGATATTTAGATCGAATCCGACGCTCATCCCATTGTAAGCGATAGGAGCATACATCCACAGGTCATCAGAACTCAAAAGCTGCAAACAAATGGTTCAAGAAAAAAGCTCAGCGAGGTTTTCTTCCTTCATCTCTCGCTCAAACAAGATATGGTAGAACGTGCAGCGTCACCTTGATTTGGAGATGCAGGAACTTCACGTACTCAACTGCTTCTTCAAGCATCGTGCTGAGATCTACCTGCGTTACATCGACGATCCACAGGCGGGATTCGTTAGATTTCTGTGATCGAGCACACAAATTAAGAGAATAATACTCTGAGGTCGGAGTCTTTACTTTGGTTCCATTTGGAACCAGGCTCTGTAATGTCCTCAGCCTCTCATTGATTCTTTCTCTCCTCTTCTGTAGACATCGATCACGCAGTAACAGTAGCATCGGATCAGAGCACACAAATGAACACTGTCGTCAACCTAAATCAGTGTCTGTTACGTACCCTCGCGTAAAGGCTTTGGGGATCGGTAGATGAACCCCGACCAGCTGTTGCTTTCGAGCTAGAACTTGTGATCCCAGAACCCAGCAGCTCCTGAGAACCATTGCAGTCCTCCTCCGAGCTGTAGCAGCTGGAGCTTTGTGAGTTCAGCTCGCCATTGCCTTCTTCTTCATTGGCAGTGGCAACGGTCCTCTGAGCTTTCTTGGGTTGTGGATTCTTCCTCTTCTTAGGCACCTAAGCGATGTTTGCAACGACCATCAATATGGTTCGGAATCGGCAGTGAAGTGGGCGGAGAGATAAAAGTACTGACCGATGCGGCGGCCCGAGCCTTCTTGTTGGGGCTGACGGTGTGGCCATCCCCGCTTCCTGTCATCTCAAGCTCACTTGTAGTGACTCTTTTCTTGGTGGCCTCGGCGTTGTGATCACAGGGAAGAAGGGGAAATGGCGGCTTCGCGAACAAGCCTCCGACTTCGAGATTGAATTGATCCCCCGGGAAGGATGGCGCGGTGATCTGCTCCTCACCAGTGCAAATGCTGTAGCCTCCGTAGTCGGCGTGAGGAAGAAAACTACTAGAATTGTATTGAGGCCAGTAGGAAGAGTACGAATGGGAGCTGTGATCAGAACAGAGCATGGCAGGCGTCACCATGCTCAGGCCTTGATCTTGCTCCTCAGCAAAATGGTGGGAGTCGCAGAGGTGTGTCATCACCTCGGAGTCGAAGCAGCTCCAACTTCCTTCAGAGACCAAGCCTCCAAACTCCATAGATGGCACTCGAGAGTGATCGAAAGGCTTGGTGACACAGTTGCAGAGATTGGGGAGTACTTATACGGGAGAATGATGCCTGCAAAGGCTTGACTTTCCTCTCCGATGAGCATTTGCAGGGAATAAACTATTTCCTGGTGGCGACATATTCCTGATGGTCTACCATGGGCGACCACAGCAAAGAGCCAAGAGGGAGGCATTCGTGCATTAAAAGAAGCCATGAATTAATCTTCGAAGAACATGATTAACCGATGGGTTTACGGAGGCTTCAGAGTGAGGTGTTGCGAGGATGAGGAAGCACCCAGCCATTGTTTCTCTTGGGTCATAACCTTCATGCTAATTTGGAGCTGTGTTCTTCTTGATCATTTACTTTGTGTCTTGCTTCAGCAACTTGACTGATTCCGTGGTTGAGTTCCATCTTTCACTCTTGTGGCTGCCAAAAGCCAATCTCTCACCTGAAGATTTCTTTTCTTGATCATGTCTGCATCATCCAATTAACAATGGTTGACATTTCTTCTTCTTATTTTTCTCAAAAATAATGAGCATTTCTACTTGCATCAGCACATAAAATTGTATATGAGCCATTAAACATGGATTCAACAATCTGGTTTGACATTCTCCAGTTCATCAACTTATATATGAGCCATTAAACATGGATTAATTGGCATCAAAAGAAATTTTGACTTTTGGCATCGCTAAACGTTGTTTTGACTCGCATTAGGATTGACCATCAAATTCGAAAATGAGAATTATTTGCTGGAAACCACAGAGGTTTAGATTCACATTCTTTGTCTTCATTGATTGTCCTCATCAGTATCATCTTTTCTTTTTCTATCTCATACTGATGGCAGCAATTCAAGATCTTGGACGGCTGCTACACAATTCAGATCCATGACTCCTCTTGAACTCTAGCTATATATGTAATGTATGTATTTACATATATGAAGGTAGAACACATTGCTTATACATTCACCAAAGTTCTAATTCTGCTGTATACAAAGATATTAACTGCTTACAAGAATCATCTTCTTGTTTTAAGAAACTGAATTCCAATGACATTAGGCAACTCTCTTCTTTCTACTGGGATAAATCATTTGTGGCCAAGAAAGATGACAAGTTATTTGATTTAAATCGCCCAATATTAAGTCAACGATCGCATAATAACGGGAGATAAGATGCTGAACAATTGGCAAAGTAGATTAGTCTGACTCCCCTGCACGTTTTTGTGGTTGCAGTTGGAAGGAATAAGTATATTGAATAATGCAGCTTGAATTATACAAAACATTTATGATCTATCTTTATGTAGTTTGACAACCATGAAAAGGACTCCTTACAACCTCTACATCTAAAGGTTGATGATTAGTGGCAACTTTCTTTAACAAGGAATAAGATAATATAACTTCCAGAAGTCTTGTAGTCTTTCTGAACTAGAAAATTCAATATGGAAGTCAGAAATTTAAATACATCTACAATTGGATCAGCCCTGACATTTGAAATGACCTTGTGATCTTAAGAAACATGAAAGTTCAGTGTGTTTGCCATCTGATGCTCTCAGCTAAAGGATTTAGAACAGCATGTACTAGGTATCAACACAATTAAGAAACATTGATGCTGCATAAGGTATGAACTATGGGGCTGTGACAGTGTCTGACTTTGAGAAACTCAACATACATGGCTTCCTCCTCCATCTGAACAAATAATTCTTGGAGTTGAATAAGCATGAGTCAAAAATACAAAAACCAAATGGACTAAGCAGAAATAATCCTTCAAGTCAAACAGAATAAAAAATAATGCTACAACTAGGAGACAGTTCCCGGCAGCTAGAAAGATCAACTGCTGCTTCCAAGAAGGCACTGCTGTGGCAATTTCAATGTGCTGAAGTCTGAAACTTGTTCCTTTCCATTTCCATCATCTGACATCAAAATCCCTCTCTCGGAGAAACCATTTGCATATGGGGACTCAAAATTATCACCATTTGGAGTCAAGAAAATGCAAGATTTGTATTATTTGGATCACAGAATGCCAAATGAGAGTACTGGAAACTATCAAATGCACTTCAACACTTTTGTTTCCATATGAATAATGAAAACAGCTAATATTTCTACAACTGTACAAGAAAATCTCACTGCTCTATTGAGAAAAATCTTTCCTCCTAACCTATATATATATAGGAAACACATATCAAAGAAGATATATCTTTTCTTTGATATGGGTTCCCTATTTATTTATATAGGTTCGGAGCAAGAATTTTCCTCAATAGAATACCTCGTCCAATTGGAAAAATCTTAACTGCTATTAAATAATTATTAGAGAATATAAACATGAAACAGGTTTAATGGCTCTGCTATTAAATCTTGAAATTTTGACTCTCATTTATCTCCTCTAGATTGTATATCCCTACATTTTCTCTCTTAATCTTTTTATCATTGCCTAACAAATCCTCTCCTCTATTATCAACTTATTTATTGATTTTAAAGGAATAAGGGTGCCCCACTTGATGTTCACTTATGACCTTTTGGTTTTACGTGTCAATAAAGGATACTGTGCCAATATCTTTCAGGTTCTTAATGTTTTCAATCATCTTATCAAAGAGGCCAGTTGACTTTTTATGTACCTACGGTTCCTTCCTATCTTTGGGCTGGTTTCCATTAAGCTTCCAAAACACTCTTATGGATAAGGCTCTTTTAAAGGTCTAAAGCTGGTACAAAGGGCTCATCTCGCAAGCTTCTCTAGTAAACTCTATACCCACTCGCCTCGTCTTCAATTGAAATATTTCTGATTCTGTCTTACACCATATAACTGGGATTGCTAAGAATTTTTTTTAGAATATTGATTCTTCTTCCATTCGCATGAAACTAATTAATTGGGAGACTATCACTAAGGCTAAGTGTTAGGATGAATTAGTACAAATTGATTATAAAATTTGATCTATAAATCAACACGTTTCCAAAACTCAATTAATCAAGTTAAAGTTACAATTAAATAGAATAAAACTAAGTTATAAATAAATGGTAAGTAAAAAAAGGCAAATAAATTTATAGTGATTTGGTCTTTCCTACCTACGTCCACTCATGACTCCTCTTTCCTCGAGGCCATCGATTTTTACTATTGATGTTCTTTCTAATTGGTAAAGATCAACTATCCTTGTTATAACTTTTTTCTTTCTCGAGATAAGGAGATAATCTTTATACTCTCTCTTGACATAAGATCTCTTACTTCATACAACATAGAATTATAACTAAACTCAGAAGGAAGAAGATGCTCAAACTATGCTCAAAATAAAAGTTTACGACACTTTACTATATTAAGAATGGATGCTTCATCAACCAAGCTTGAGTGTGACATTTATAAGCTCAAAAGGCTTCAAGAATAAAGTCAAAAATTTAAATTCTCAAAATTTCAAAATATGGGTGATACTACCACCGGCACTAGATGATGATACTATTGCTGCAACTATATTGCAAATCTAGACTCTAGTATTACTATCATTAGTATAGGTGATACTATTGTTGCCATAGGCAATACCACTATTGGAAAGGTTAACAAAGCACAAACAATGCTTGTCGGTTGATTTAGGTAGTACTATCACTTGGGCCTAGTGATACCACTACCCAACTTCAATCTCAATAGCTTTCATGACATGCAAACTTTGTTTTGAGCTCAATACAAACTTAAATTGACCCAAAATAACCTTAGTTAGATCTTCACAAATTAACCACACATCTGACATATTTTTTAAGCCTTCAGCATATTATATGCTCTTCTGACATGTCATTCGATTTTCTAGTACTTTGTTCAAACTTCAAACACATTGCTCTTTCCTTCGGTATATTACTCATTCCACCTACATATTGACTTTCTCATGACATTCAGTTTTTTGGTATAATATCTGATCCTTCTAGCATGATACTTGAACTTTTAGCATGAAGTTTAATTTTTAACACATCGATCAATTCTTCAGCCTGATGTCCAATTTTTGACATGATAATTTTTTGACACAATGTTCGACTTTCTTACTCAATAATTGGCTTTTTGATGATCTATGATCAAAGTATTTTCTGCATCACTTATCTTAAAAGTATATTAGTCTAATAAACTCATTAATTGGTTTTATTATTAAAATCAAAGATTCAACAATCTCCCTTTTTTTAATAATGATAACCAATTAATGATAGAATTTTAACAAGACTCCCCTATCTATTTGTCATTTTAAAAAGTTATAATAAACATGAACTCAAATGATTATATATCATTTTAAATGCTTATATTGAATTTAAGTTAAAATAAATTTGATCTTGTTGATATTATAACTCAATCATTCAAGCCCAAATATGAATATTTAATCAAATTTTAAATTTTATGTTATAATCATAATCATTCCAAGTTTCAAATTTCAACCATTATGAATGTGTAATATCAATCAAAATATAATTATAAATTAATCATTTGCATAAATCAAACATGAGTTGTATAATAACCAAAAAATCATAAGTAAGACATCATGATTCTTTTTGTTCATACATGAGTCACCACTTCCCCCTTTATCAATAATAAAATATATGAGTAGCTATTTCTCCCCCTTTGTCATCAGCAAAAAGAAAGGAGTATATCAACGATCCAATTGTATAAAAATAACAATTACTTTGATATCATGGTACATTAAAGATCTAAATATTACATTATGGACATCGAAAAGTCAATTGATGATAGGGTCTTAATAAGACTCCCTATATCTATGTCATCTTAAAAATATGATGAACTTGAATTTAAAATAATATTATTTTAATAATATTATTAAATTTAAATTGAAACAAATTCAATCTTATTAATATTATTATTGCAAGCCTAAATATTTAATCAAGTTTTGAATTTCAAAGAATAATTAATAAAAGTTAGGCATAAGTGACTACTAACAAAAAAGTTATAAAAGCATTATAATTCTTCTTGTTCAACACATAAGCTAGCCTTGAATTACTACTTCTCCCCCTTCTTGTCATAAAAAATTATGAGTTACTTCTTTCCCCTCTTTGTCATCAATAAAATAAATGGAGATATAAGTCATGAATACAAAAGAGTCATGTAAAAT